AAGGAGCAAACATTGTTGTTGATGAGAGAATTAAAAATAAGCATTACAAAGAGCAAAGTTTGAAACTTATCTTACAATAGCCTATTGTACAGCAGTGGTGTAGCATTTTTTTTTTCTTGCTGTAGTGGAACTCCTTGAACAAATCAAATGCATTAGGTTCTTCTTCATTGTATTTGTCACGCTGAAAACAACATATATGCATTATGTCCAGCAAATGTGTACAGTGTTGAACTTAAAAAAAAAAGGATGAATCTAGATAGCATCAAATCACCGTTGAGCTGATCAAATCAAGCATGATCTATGGTATCCCCCAAGTAAGCTGTTTTCTGCACCTCTTTTTCTTTTTGTTGGCAAATGGATTAAAACATTATTCAGTTTTGAAGATATCTGAAAATATAGCAACTGTGGATTTCTGAAAATAAACACATTCTTTTTTTTATCTAAAACACTTTCTTTTTTTTATCTAGTTTCTATGAAACTTTCACGAATATTCTTTCTTATTTATGACTGCACTTGCATTTGCAGAAACAAGGAATTCAGTTTTTTGTCAAAGATCATATTGTTACAGCATGAATTGACTTGCTTAACTAAATTAGAGGTTTCTGCATTCATCAGATTCAGGAACTTTGATAAGCAACTAGCATCAGCGGATAGAGAGAGATTGGTTACAGTTGGGATGCGGTCGCTCGCAGTCGAAGTTGGGGCGCTTCACCAATCACCAGTCCCTCTCACAGTAGCAGATCCCGCCTCCGCCCTCCTGCACATGGGTGAGGCACATGCGTCAAAACTCGCCAAGAAAACTAATGCAAGAAACAAAGAAAGAAAGACTGGCGCCTCTCCTCTTCTTTTTCATCCGTGTCAAACCGTCCTCGCCCACCATGATCGCCTGCCGTGCTCCCTATGCTCACGCGTGCAGCAGTGCGGCGTCCTCCTCGAGCAGCCTCTCGATGGACGGAGCTCGCGAGATGTAGGAAGCAGGCGCGCTGCTGGGAGGGGATCTGCGCCCTGACCTGCTGCCGGAGAAGGAGGAGGAGGAGGACTCGTCGGAGCTCTCCCTCGCCGGTGCTTCTTCCACCTCGATTCACGTCACCGGTGGCTGCCCCGGATGCTGCGCTGCACGCCCCCTCCGGGCCCGAGAGGCGCCGGCGGCAGCGGATCCACCGCTCCCGCGCCTGGCAGCGGTGGAGACGGATGCCGGCACGGCAAGCGGCGAAGGGGGAGGAAGCCGGCGCGGTGAGCGGCGCCCGGCGGCGGCGGAGAAGGAGGCCGGCGCCCAGCAGCGGCGGAGATAGAGGCCGGCGGTCTCATCTGCAGTAGCGCCTCGCGTGTGGTGGCGGCTTATCTGATTTGGATCGGCTAGGGTTGAGGAACCAATGCGATTTTACTAAAATACCCATGGTGCATCCGAAGTTACCACTAAAATATCTGGACAAAATGGTCATTTCACGTTGAAATTTTGATCAACATCCCGCCACACTGAAAGTTTGGCGCCCGCTGCTCCTTCGGGCCGCCGGCCCAGCGTCTGTTTTTCCTCCCTCCTCTCAATTAATTTCAAAATATTAAAACTTCAAATCGAATTTTATCATACTAAATAAATTTATGTGAAAAAGATGTCAAAAACAAAGTTATATAACTTAATGAGATCTACAACTTTTGTTTTGGTCATTTTGCTATATGACTTTGTATCAAAAATTTGAATTTGAATTTCAAATTATGACAACTTCAAACAATATTTTCAAATAATAAATGATTTCAACTAAAAAAGTCATCAACAATAAAGTTGTACAACTCATCAATATTTACAACTTTTGTTTTGGTCATTTTTCTATATGACTTGGTTTGAACAATATGAATTTGAATTTCAAATTATGACAATTTCAAACAACATTTTCAAATACTAAATGATTTCAACTAAAAAAGTCATCAATAACAAAGTGGTATAACTCATCAAGATCTATAACTTTTATTTGGGTCATTTCTTCATCCGTTAAAGCGAATTGTAACATTATTCACAAAATGTACATATCTCTTATACAGTTTATAAACTATGAGAGAGATATGTAAATTTTATAAATAATGTTACTATTACTTTGTCGGATGAAGAAATGACCAAAATAAAAGTTATAGATATTGATGATTTATACAACTTTGTTATTGATGACTTTTTCAGTTGAAATCATTTAGTATTTGAAACTGCTGTTTGAAGTTGTCATAATTTGAAATTCAAATTCAAATTATTGAAATGAAGTCATATAGCAAAATGACCAAAACAAAAGTTGTAGATCTTGATAAGTCATACAACTTTGTTATTGATGACTTTTTCAGTTGAAATCATTTAGTATTTGAAACTGATGTTTGAAGTTGTCATAATTTGAAATTCAAATTCAAATTATTGAAATGAAGTCATATAGCAAAATGACCAAAACAAAAGTTGTAGATCTTGATAAGTCATACAACTTTGTTGTTGACATTTTTTTTTCATTTCAAATTATTTACTACCAGAAAAATTATTTGATTTTTCTTATATTTAAAATTCAAATTTTATATAGGTCAATCAAAGTCAGATGGAGAAATAACCAAAATAAAATTGATAGAAAATAAGTAAGACATACGCATACAACGTGTTAGTAGTAAAATGAGGGTGCAGGGCTGAAGGCAACGATGCTCTCAGGAAGTGGCGTACAATGCGCGTCAACGAGAGTTTAACTAGATCATATCCTTTAATTCGCATTGTCGATCTATCGATCCCATATATTAAGATCTCGTATGTTATGACTGATCACCTCAACGACACAGTACACACTTGAACAAATGCGTCCATCGATGAAGACAAGAAATCCTAGCTAGGATCGGAGGAAGTAGAGGAACAGATTCAGAGTTCAGAGAGCGACAGCTCTAGCTATCTCGCAGCGCATGACATACGTTACGCTCGCCGGCCGATGTCATTGATCAACAAGGTACGTCGTCATTGATCACTGTGTGTTTTTGGCCTAAAAAATGAGTTAGCTATCCAAGTCTTTCCCTTTTTTTTAATCCTTACATATACATTGACGTAGCCATTAGAAGTTTGTTTATAATTTCTTTTTCACTGCAACATAACCGGAAAATAGGCAATTACTGCCGGTTCGTTGTTACTTCCTTTTCACTGCTGGTTTCAAAACCGACAGTCTAGAAATACATACTTATTTTCAGGCAATAAAAGTAATAATAATGTTGCTTTCTATACATACTTGCGCACATACACTTCCACTTCAACAAGCAACTGATTTGGGGCAAAGACAGCGTTTAAATTTCCATGCAGTATGCATATATATACACGATTCGAAACAAATTCAACCTGCATGGAGAAGTATATACATATATTTCAACTTGCAACTGATTTGCATACATATACAATCTATCAAAAAGAAAAAGCGAGACAGAGAGAAGATAAAAAGAACAAACATACTCCCTCCGTTTTAAAATATTTGACACCGTTGATTTTTTAAGTACGTGTTTAACCATTCGTCTTATTAAAAAAATTAAGTAATTATTTATTCTTTTCATACCATTTGATTCATTGTTAAATATACTTTTATGTACACATATAGTTTTACATATTTCACAAATTTTTTTGAATAAGACGAACAGTCAAACATGTGCTAAAAAGTCAATGATGTCAAACATTTTGAAACAGAGGGTGTACATCAGATAAAAAGAACTCACGCAAATGCAGCCGACGACTGAGCAAGCACGCCTATCGCCGTCACCCCTCCGCTTGCATCTTTCATCTTGTGATCGCTGCCCTCTGTGAGATTTGGTCCCTGCCTTCGGGATCTAGCAGGGTGACATCATCTTCGGTGGAGTGGCCGTTGGTGGCATATCGATCGTTGGGGTGCTGCGGTAGCTAGTCACCATCAGATGCAGGGTGGACCAATAGAACAAAATGAAAGAGGAGTATCACTCGCTTCATGTTAACGTGAGAGTGGATTCTAATCCCTCGACGAAATATCTCTTCGTGTAACTTTTTCTTTCCAATTTAATACAAATAGTTTTGAAAAATTCTGAACGTAGAGTATATATAGTGGTATCTATCGGTCTATCGATCAAAAATCAAGTTCAAATTTAACTACACATCGGGGAGTGGGGCTTTCATCTGGGAAGCAGATGGGCCCAGGCATGGATGCAGCCTCTAAGGAGGAAATTTGGCACCTCCATGTGCTCCTATATATTTGGCAAATTCAGTAGCCCCAGACCCTCAGTCCCCACTCCTTGAGCTATCCAGCCGTAAGTCAAATATAATGGATCCGATAACTCTAAGACTGAATGACCTTCCCATGTCTTAAAATTTTAACTAAATCTTATATTTGAGAGCAATTTTACCATCCAACATTTGGTACCTCAAGATAGCACAAATTTTTGATAACTCAAGGTACTTTCTAGTGTAAAATGTGGTACCTTAAGGTAGTAAATGTTGGATGGTATATATAATTGCTCTATATTTGAACATCAAATATTTGTGACCGATGATGGGATTAGTTTATAAGCCCTTGCTAAACTATATGCCCAGAATAATATTATGTTACACAGAAGTCAATGGCATATATATTACCAAATTCAAGAAGCTAGGTCACACTGCATCACGCATTTTCCTAGCTAGCTACTCGCTATATATTGCGATATTTGCATATAATAATCAAAATTTCCCTTTGACTCTGAATAAACTTACCAACTACACTGTACATGGGATGTCCCTTTCAAAAAAAGTTTGTCAACAGAGCAGAATACTGGAGAGGATTGCTCAGCTCAATTGGCCAATAATGCCACGCGGAGCGTCAACAAGAGATGTTTGCATAGACATAAATCATGGACTCAGCAACATCTCGACAACATTAAGTTTGAACCGCAAGTGTTCAGTCTACCGTATCCCTGCCCATGTACGTGAGTTGGACAAGGCTTATTATGAGCCAAGGATGGTATCTATCGGTCCATATCATCGAAAAGAGAAGCATCTCCAAGCTATGGAAGAGCACAAATGGCGCTACTTGAGAGATTTCCTCTCCCGGGGATTGGTGAACGAAACTGCCGATCATCGTATGAGGAGGTACACGGACATGATAAGGAGATTGGAGCCTGAAGTTCGTGAGTGCTACTTTGAGAGCACTGACCTGGACTCGACCGAGTTCGTGGCAATGCTTCTTCTCGATGCATCTTTCATCATCGAGTTCTTCGTGAAATGGTTTAGCGGCGAGGACGACCCACTGTTTTCGGTCAGCTGGAGCTTGCCTCTCCTCTTGAATGACATGCTGATGCTCGAGAACCAAATACCTTTCTTCGTGATAGAAAGATTGTATGATATCTCTACATTTGATCCAGATCGTCCAGAAGACGCTCAACCAAAGCCTTCTCTCATTGGGATCATCACGGATTACTTACGAGGGATTGAAGATGCAGAAGTGCGGCACGACCGAGAAAATGTGCATCACATGCTCCATCTCTATCACTGTTGCTTTGTTCAGCCACTCGAACTGCCAAGAAATGCAAACGAAGAAGGTGGAAATGCGAATAATATTGGTAATCCCTTCCTGTTCTTGCCCAAGATGATCCCATGCGCAACACAGCTCCGCGAATTTGGTGTTCACATAAAAAAGAACAAGCATGCAAGGAGCATGTTTGATATCTCCTTCCGGAACGGCACACTCGAAATCCCTCGCGTCGCCATTGAGGAGATGACAAGGTCCAGGTACATGAATCTCATTGCATTCGAGCAGTGCCATGACAACGGCAAGTATCTGACCAGCTATGCGGTCTTCATGGCTTACCTCATCAACACTGCTCAAGATGCTATCCTCCTGCAGCGCTACGATGTCATCGACAACAAGCTAGCAAATGAGGAGGAGGCCGCCAAGTTCTTCAGCCAGCTTCATGCCTGTTCCTACATTAACTATGACGAGCATTACCTGGCCCCTGTGTTCAGAGACATCAATACATATTGCCGGCGATGGTGGCCCAAGCGGAGAGCCAGGCTATGCCACGACTACTTCGCCAGCCCATGGGCAGTTATCTCGTTCTTGGCAGCACTGATCTTTATGGGCTTCTCAATCTTTAAGATAGTCGTCATGATTTTGAGTGTCTTCTTTCATTTCCACGAAAGAAAGTGAGTTCATGCCTTGAATTGTACTGAAAGGATGGTTATATATATATGTGAAATCAATGTTTTGATTGACTTGTTTTGTGATGAATATTTGGCATATGAATTATATTGGTTTTAATATTTAGTAGATAATTGGCGAAGTGGTTTTTTCTCTCCATGTGGGACTAGCCGGACCATGAAATGGGTGTCAAACAGACTGGTGGTATGGCTGCAGTTGGACCGGCTAGCTCCCGATTGGAGTCAATTTTGGGTAGTTTGTTTGGATACTAGTGATTGTTTCATGTTTATGACTTCTAAATGATTTATACACTTATAACATACTATTGTGTGCTAATGTTGAGTCAAGATTGGAAAAAAACTTGTGCTCTAATATGGTTTCCTGTTTGTTCATCTGTAGGTGTATCTTGATGCCTTGAGTGTTATCAGTAATGGATTGGGAGTCTTCTCGGGAGAAGTTGATGTCCAGACAATCAGGAGATCATATAGGATGCTTAGGCTAAAAAGCAATACATGTGGTGGTGAAGATTTCATATGGCATACAAGAGTAATTGTGTGCAGGAGTTAAATTTGGAAGCAATACAACTTTGGAAAGATTGAAGTTTGAATTGTACAGGGATAAATTTTGTCTTGCAAGAGTAGGTTTCTATGGGTTAGAACTACTTATCCAGCATGTTGTATTCGTAGCTTTTGGGCTGCTACCTCAAGGTATAAATAGAAGAGGAGTTGAGATCTCTCGGTATCGATTTTGTAATAGACTAGTTTTGAGAAAAATTAGAGTTTAGCCTAGGTTTTAAGTTTAGTCAAAAGTTAAGAGAGAAGTGTCATTGTTGAACTTTATAAACACAATTAGAAGCAATTAAGTTCATCCACTTTCAAGAGTTTATTTATTTGTGTTTTTTTCTGTCTCACCGATCAGATCGGCTACGCGGCAGCGATAATTAGGACATGTTAGTGAGAAGCCATATTAGTAGGGTAAACTAACAAACTATCTCTATCAAAGTGATTTAATATGCAAGTAAGGATCCACTTGTAGGTGAGATAAAATATATTATTTTTCATAGATTGTATTTGGACTAAATATTCCAACTGGACTAACCTGTCATACTATGGGTCTATACTACATGGAAAAGTATTACATACCAAAAGTATGACACTGAAAAATACTACTTGAGCCTACTTGTCATACTCTAAACCTTAAAAAAAACTAGAAAAACTAAATTAAACTATGTAGCCTTATCAGAAAAGTTTTCAGCCAATTATGATTTCAGATGTATAGTAGCCTTATCATATTTTTCTGTTTTCGAGGAAAATAAAATCCAAATTTATTTATGTTTCCGAAAAATTCCAACTGCCATTTTTCTTTTCTGGGCTTTTCAAGTAGGGAAGAAGCTATATAAGTTCTGCGTATGATTATTCTCATCAGGGAAGAAGCTATATATGTACGGAGTACAAAACATTCCTTCCATTATAATTGCTACTCTCTCCATTATAAATCGCTTCGACTTTTTCCTAGTCAAACTTATTTAAATTTAATCAAATTTATAGAAAAAAAATCTATAACATCAAACTAGTTTTATTAAAATTAAAATTTAATATAGTTTGATAGTTTGTTTGTTTTGTGTTGAAAATATTGCTATATTTTTCTATAAACTTGATAAAACTTAAAAAAGTTTGACTATGACAAAAATCAAAACGACTTCAAACTTAAAACGGAAGGAGTACTAGCGAAATGTCCAAACATATACTTTTTCTCCCTCACCGATGAGAACCCTCCCCCACAGCTCGCACATAATATATAGTACCACATCTCCAAACAGTTGCCACCCCTGGAATGCCTGGATCCATATATATATTGTGCCGTTTCTAACTGGCCTAAGGAGTTCTCATCCAGCACAACCCAAGTTATTATCCAACCTCTTCCATTCCACCCTCGGACCTGTGGCATCGCAGATATCTCATCTCCACCTCTGACTGTTTTCTTCTTCGGCAGAGCAGCCTTTTTAGGCTGCTTGCCGGCCGACTCATTATCACTGTCATTGTCATCATCGCATATCATTTTCCTCTTCCGAGAGCCCGCTTGTTCAGTCGGGGCAGCACTGCTTTTTTGGGCGCCGGGTTGGATTTTTGGACCACCGGAAGCCTGGCCTTGATGACGCTGGGCAGTTGGAGGATCAGACTTCATTAGAGCATTTTCCTAAGGATAATGATTCGAAGTTTATTTTCAGGAACAACAAGCATGATAGAAATTCAAGCATTTTGTTACTTACTGCTGGAGGTGGATTGAAGGCGTTGTATGGCACGACCGGGAGCAGATGTGAGAAGTCAACCACGATACCGGATGAGAAAATTTTATACATCCTCTCCTTTATGATTTTGAATTCGAGGGAGTCGGGATCCTTTTGGTTGGGGTCAGTCTTCCCATCATACTCAAAGGTCGTGTAGTATCTTTCTTTGATTGGAGCCAGTCGGCACTTTATGAAGTGCCGAGTGATCTGCTCCCCTTGAAGACCCTGTTCCTTTATCTTCAATAGTTTGTTCAGCAGCTCGAGGGCTTGAGAAGATTCTTCGCCCATAGGAAGGGAGTTCCAGATATCTTGGTACTTGGGCGGGCAGCACGAGTACTCGGGCAAAGTAGGATCTGGGTTTTGGATGTAAAACCAGCTAGCATGCCAGCCTTTGTTAGAGGTTTTGAAAGGAAGAGCAAAATATTTTTGGCTTAGGGTTTCGCGGAGCTAGAAGCCGGATCCCCCAACAATGCAAGGCTTGTTTTTGTTTGGCTGGGGTTTCAAGAAGAAGATTCAGCGAAACAAGGCGAAGTGAGGCCGAATGCCCAGAAAAGCTTCACAAAGATGGACAAAATTCACAATATGAACAATGGAGTTGGGGGTTGAGATGATAGATATTAATCCCATAAAATTCAAGAATTCCCTTAAAGAATTTAGAGGTTGGAAGAGCAAAGCCGCCATAGAAGAAATGGATGAAGACCACAATCTCATGGGTATCAGGGGTTGGAAAGGCCTCACCAAATGCTGGACGCCACCCGATGATCTCCTTGCTTGGCAACACGCCGTGCGCAACCATTTCCTTGAGGGTTTCCTCCTTGACATCGGAAGGCGCCCACTAGCTCTGGAAGTTTTGTCTCTCTTCCGCCATGGATGAAAATTGTGTGGGGGAGATTGAGGATGTGGGCTGTGAGGATGGATGGGAAAATTGAGGGCGGTGGTTGCGTGGAGATTTTTAGCCAAGGCAAGTAGATTGGGAAAGATGGATTGCGGTGCAGCATCGAACCCTAGCTTTTGGCGGAACGAATCTGTTACTATAGCGCAGAATGGGGAATGAGCAGCTGCTGAGGCGAGGAAGACAAAGGGTTTCCTTCGGCACGATTTTAATCGCTGGGTATCGGGAAATGCTAATGGGCCTGGGCAAATACAGTGTTTTCATCCCAAATACACCTTCGGTGTGGCTGATTGTAGTCTCTTGGGGCTTGGGCGTATTTTTTTTCTTAGGTAAAATTGCCCACAATAAATAAAGCCCGATACTGCTAAAATCCTTTTTCTGCAGTTAGTAAATTCCTTAGAATTACTACGATGCACACAAAAAGGTGCCCAACAGTTAAAAACGTCATGTTATTTTTGTTGACTTTTCTGGTCACGAAGCTGTTAGGGTTTGATCAGGACAACTGGTTTTTAAAAATTGTTGTTCCTTTTTGAGCATTTATATGCTTTATTCTCCCAATAACAGACTAAAGTTACAGCTTAGGCTGGTTAAACTTGTTAGTCGTTATCTATTGAGTAGTTGATAAATCCTTTATGAGTTTTTACTCGGATTTTTTATCACAAATGTTGTATTCAGCTCCGAAATAGATGATAGATCTCTAAGAGTGCTTTTATCACTCAGATCTTTATATATCCTCTATGTTTCATAGTGAGCTTAATAATTTAATTAAAGTAGTCGGCAAACTCTTCGGACGGAGTCGCATATGCTTTAATATTTAATTACTTCAGTAATATTATTTATAAAACCACTCGGCTAGTTATTTATTTCAACCTTGACTATATGTTTAGTTTTTTTTCAACTAATCACATAGTCGGGGGCTACACCTATTAGGTGCATCTAATCGATGCACCTAAATTTTTTATTCGATGCACCTAAATTTTTTATTTTTTAGCCCTTCACAGCCTTTGATTCAAGCACTCGGGAGGCCAAGGCAGAGATAATTGAAGCACTTGGGATTTTTGTTTAATGACTCGGGAGAAGATTATTTCGTCGACTGTGAAGGTCTCAGGGGCTACTGTGGAGATTATGGAAACCCATACCCACACGGCATGTATATCCGACTGGGTATAGGGGTACCATATACAAATAGAATATATTTAGTAAATGACTCGGTTGTTATGTTAACTTGTGTATCAAGGAAACATCAGATAGTCCTAATCGGCTACGATTGTAATTTATCTTTACATGCTTGGTCCGTTAGGAACATGGGCTGCATCTTGTAATACCAGCTCCTCACCCTTTATATAGGGGGTCCGGGTGCCTCTAGTGGCATAACTTTTCTCTCTAATCATACGATCAATAATACACTCGGCGGATCAATCCCCGGACAAGAGTAGGGTATTACTTCTCATCGAGAAGGCCTGAATCTATATAAACCTCGTGTCTCCTAACCCACCCACTTCTTTAGCTTGATAGCCACCCCTTTTAGTATTGCCGAAATATTGTTTCGACAATTACACATGTTACTTGATTATTAATTTGTTGTCAAAACTATTTGGTAAATAAAAAACATACAATATGGCCATAAATCTCAAGATGGACTAAGGGGTTGTATTATAGCAAGATAATTGGCTAGAATATTTTTGATAATTTTTCACATCTATGTAACATTTGTGTTGGCCACTTCTCAAATACCAATCAAATAGTTAATAATAAATTCAAAAATAACTTTGAGAATCTTAATTCAAATAAATTAAAATTAAATTAGATCTACTTGAAAAACAAAACTAA